TCTTAGCCGCTTCATTCTGTACGTTATTCAACAAACTGTTTGTCGTACCTTTGTGTCCGATAAGTCGAATGGTCAATTTTTTGTATTTTCCTTGTGCTACCTCAGCTTTCCTTCCTCGGAACAATTTTTTGTGCAGTTTTGCTATATACCGTTGTTTGTTTTTTCTGACATAGCCTTCCTTCTCTTTGCTGTTATTACTGTTCTCTGTCATCCTGTGATGTTTTTTATACACGCCACGCGATTTTATACAATAGCGCTTTTCAGTTACTGCGGCAACACCTCCGCAACGGCGTTGGATCAATCTAAGTCGAATGGAAAGGGACCTCTTTCGTAAGTGTTTCTTGTTATCGTTTGAAATGTGTGAATGAAGATTGGTTATATATTTGTTTTACTGTAGAAATTGTTTTACTCTTTACACTTGTAATGCAGTAATTGGAACATTAGCTGTTTTGCATTGCGTTTGTTTCCCTGAAGATCGAACATCGAACATGATCCGAGATGTAGAAAATACGTACATAATAAATTCGATAACCGGTGTTGTTAAGGATTTTTCACATTAACACTATAGAATTCTCGACTAACTTTTACAAAAGTCATAGCTTCGTGACTGAATAATAACTGTTATAGATACACAGTTTTGAAAGATATTTTACACATGATGACTGATTGATATGTTACCATACCTTCTTTAAGGACAATGAAATATCACAGAATACCACCTACGCGCTCCACACAAATTTAGCAACTTGTTCGTTAGATGATTGGTTTTCGCGCACAGCGTAGACAGATTTCAAACCAAATATTCATAGCGCTATGGCTTCCGTTCTGCCAACGTTTTAATTTTCAGCTCTGTGTAATGACTGGTGCAGAATCTAGATGATGGTGGCGGGCCTTCTGCTCTCACAATTCCTCTGCATGAGACAGATTCATCATCTTTGTGACAGGCTCTGAGCTACAGAGAAAATTATTGACTCCTCATCCGCTTTTTGCAATGAAAGGATGTCCCGCCCCAATGCCTCATTCATTTTCTTTATCATCAAAATTAGGAAATAACTTTGATTGCTGTGTTTTGCCATAAGTATGATTATGTTGAAAGAAAAATGAAGCAAATTCCGGCATCGCATTAACAAATACTGAAACATAGACGGTGATACCCCGATAGCTTTTTCTAGGAAGCTTATTTTAGTTATACAGTTAGACAGACGAGCTCCAAAGCACCATTCTGTAGCTGTTTTAGCCGGGGCTTATCTGTGATACTTCGCCAAACCAGCACAGTCCTCTGCTGATAAAAGCTGGCAAAAGTAATGAACACAAAAACAGTTCTAAGTAGGGATTTATGATCGATGATCCCAGCGTTCGTCAACCTATGAAGATCTTTCGCAGAAGTTGACTGATCCTCTGTTTGTGGCATAGGAATGCACACGACGATGTATCCGTCACGTGTACAAAGGGAAACTCGAGTCGGCTCGGTGCTAGTTTGGAGCGGATGTTAACCATTTTATCACTGGTCATATCCATTCTGCAAGTAAGCGATGGTACGGTAGAAGTGAAAGGTGTCAGAAACTCTCTGATGTCCAGAATAAGAATATGCTAGATTCTTAAAGTGGCTTGTAGTTTATAATGTTCTGAAATGAACTTCTCTGTTTAATGGCAGTTGGCATGGCCTTGTTGATGGCGACAATTGCGGCGCATACGTAGCAGGAAGGTTACGGCAAGGTTATAATCATCTCGCCGTCGTTTCGTTATCACTTGAAGAAGCACAGCTAACGACCATCGCGTCGTTCGCTTTTGCGTTTGTCACGGTGGATGGTGATCAGGCGACATCGACTCGGTTTCAGGAACGAAAAGAATTTTAGACGTGGAGTTGAATCTTAATTTCACCTTAGCAGTGAAACATCAACGGTTGTTCTTCAGTTCGATGCGGATAGATTTCCTACGTCGTAATGGTACTGTCTAAGGTATTAAGAGGCTATTAATAATTCACACAGCGTATCGGCTTGGTATCAACTGCAAACAGTGTGCAGCGGTACGATAATAACAGATTTTCTACATGTAACCACAGTTGCGTTTTTCTTTTTGTCGGACGTTTCGCAATGAAGATTTATGTACATTAGTCGCAGCTGATTGCGGCTGGTTAATCTACAAAAGCCTTGCTCCTGCGTCAAACATATCACTCTGTGTTGTTGATCAAATTTTGACGCTCTGCTCATGGATTAACGCACGGGGTAAAGTCCCTATATGCATACATGGTGATAATTCGTGATTTTACCTTACCGTAGTTCCACCATCTCCCTGTAGAGCAAATGCTTGCTGGTTGAGGAAGCGAAACATTTCTCCTTGGTCCTGTTAGTTTTTTCGTGAGCTGAAAAGAAGTAGCGTAGGACCAGTAAACTTCATGTGGTTTGTTATTAACCAATACTGTGAAGGTATTTATCATTGGCTCACTACCAGTTGAGAACGTGCGTGTTGAGGTAGTGACGCGTTGTTCGTTTTTCGTTTGTTAACTGTTCTTCACCTTCATGCTGATTTTAGCGACCTTTACTGTGCTGTGTTATAACGTTCTCTGCGATAAGTACGCGACGTATTCTCAGTATTCGTACTGCCCTTCCTGGGCCCTGAGATGGGAATATCGCAAGAATTCCATCTTGAACGAAATCAAGCACTACGACGCTGACGTGATTACCCTTCAGGTGAGTTGTTGAATTTTTTCTCTTTGTTTCATGGGTATATTTGGGAGTTTTGCATTGCTGTTATTGTGGTGATTGTTTAAAACCGTGTGTTCGTTGTGCACGTCTGCTCTTTCGTCGGGTTTTTTTTCGGTTAGCGATGCATAGTTCCTCGCTTGTGAATGCTTTTTACCTTTCTTTCAGACATTGTGATTTTGTTGTTGCACGTTCTTTTGCTTCGTTTTCTCTTTCCATGACTCACCATTGTTTCATTAGGAAGTGGAAACCGAACAGTTTCACTTATTTTTCCTGCCGGAAATGATTAAACTCGGATACTACGGTATTTTTTCGCCGAAATCGCGAGCTAAAACGATGTCGGAGGATGAAAGAAAATTCGTTGATGGCTGCGCGATTTTCTACAAAACTGTAAAGTGAGGGACGAACCTGTTATACTTAATGTTTGTTTCGACCTTTGGTTTAAACAATTTTTTCATTCTTCGTTTAGCTTAACGGTCTGATGACTACTGCATAGATTACGAGTCATGCATATTCCTAAACCGTTACGTAAATAGGATTTGAATGATGATAAATAGTACCTAAATTTTTATGCGGACAGTTATGTGTATCCTACAGTACCGGCAGACCCCGCTTTACGTAAATTCAGAATTTTGCAAATTTTGCTGAAAGGGCTGTAGCAAAAGTTTCGAGTTATATAAAAGTTTTACTCGACGCCCGTACGTTGCCAGCGCAGAATTCCGGAAAACACGCAACCCAACGACGTATGCGTGCGCTTTCCTCAGTCTTGTTTGGTTTTCTATTGAACATGAATGTGCTGCGTATTTCTGTTCAGATACCTTGATAATTTTAATATCTTGGTGCAGTGCCGTGTGGTAGAGTACAATCATCACTCGACAGAGGAGCACAAATCGAAAGGTGAACACATGAGTAACCACACCAAAATTGATCTAGAGATGAAAGTGAAAATTATTTAAAATATGAAGGTAGATAAAGCATATCGCCGTCCGACGTGATCTTGGCCTCGCACCATCACAAGTGAGTACAACTGTAAAGGATTGTGCTTTTTATGATAGAAGAATTGATTTGCTTGCATGGCGATGAATTTTCAAATGAAGAACTCGTTGAATTAGAAGCAGCAAAAGTTTTCTGATGCTAAGGTTTCGAACCAGAACAGGAAAGATGATAGTCGCGTTCCGTTAGTAAAAGTGGATCCTAAAGTCTCCCGATTCGCAGAGGTCCGAAGAATGATAGATTGCGCTTTACGCTGTTATCGAATGGTTTTTGAAGAGTAGGATGGGGCAGCTATTCAGTCCTTTTGATAAAATTTAGAGGAACGTCAAAGATCGACCAACTCATGCATCTTCATCTTCATCTTCCATCGCCGCTTCTCCTTTCGGGTCGCGGAGGCAGACGCGTCAGACAGT